GGTGGCGGTGGCGCCGCTAAGCGCCAGCAAGACCAAGACCAAGAAGAAGCATTTTGTGTGCCAGAAAGTGAAGCTATTCCGGGCCAGCGAGCCGATCCTCAGCGTCCTGATGTGGGGGGTGAACCACACGGTAACCAGCTCCCCCGCGCGCGCCCCTCTGAGCGCGGCCCCGCGCGCTCCCACGCCCCCCGCAGTCCCGGGCCCTCGCCCTGCAGGCCCCGCCGGGGACGCCAGCAGCCCTTCGCCAAGCCCCTTGCACGCCCACCCCACCCTTGCACGCCGGCCGGCCGGGTGTGCACTCCTCGCACGCCACGCGAGGCCTGGTGTCTCCATGCCGTGCCGTGCCGTCACCTCCCCCCTTTCCCTCCAGCCCCTTTGGCTTCCTGCGTCTGGTGTGCTCGTGTTGGGCAGCCCCTGGAGCGCAGAGAGAAGGCCTGGATGCAGTGGAATCGCTTTCATCCCGTCTCCCTCTCTTGTCCCCTCACCCTGTTTGTTGCTTGTGTATTCCTCCGTGTTCCCTGTAGCCGACTGCCAGCCCACTGCCCGATTGACAGGGCAAGTGGCATTGGCCTGCCTGAATGGTCCTCTGTTTCGGGTTGGCTTGGTTGGTGTGGCTGTGCAAAGTTTCCCATCATCAGGGGCCCTTCCCGCGGACTGTGGAAATCCTCCCTGGGTTTCCTATTTTCATCTCTTAACACGATGTATCAAAGAAGCACAGGCGTCCTTGGTCTACAGTCACTTTACCAGGTCTCTCCTGGCTAGGGAGAAGAGAGAATGTAACCATTTGAGAGAAGTGGGGGTCCGGTTGTCAGGAGGACTATTAAGGAGTCTTCCCTGTCTCCTATGGCGTTCATTGATTGCAAAGACGTTGCCTTCTCCTCAATGGTATGGTCCTCCAACGTGTGATAATGCACGCCTTTGTCCTGGATGAGAGAGGTCTCTGGATCCTTGGGATGCTTTGAAATTGTCTAGGAGCCTCTGCCTGGAAGTTAGAGCCTGACACTGAGCTGGATGACTGTTTATGGGGTTTGTTTAGGGTCTGGCTTCTTCCTCTTTCCGCCACTTGCTCCTTATCTTCCGACCATTTCTGTGTGTTAGGAATGAGCAGGGGAGTAAAAGGACCTGAAATACCAGCTTCACCAACTAAAAGTTTGGCATGAGAAAGATGAACCTTGGGTTTCCTGTGGATTTCAGGTCCTTAGATTCTCTGTCCTGAAACTGCCCACAAGCCTGAGCACCTGAAATTGCCCACAAACCAGAATGATGATGAAGGGGCCCGGGGCTAACAAGGCTACTTTTATGGGTAGGCTAGCCTTTAGGCTGAAAAGTGATGAACTGCAGTCTGAGCTTGGGTTTGCGATCTTGACACATAATGCAGAAAGGCACATGTGTTTGGTGAGGTCCTTGTCTTCATTGCCATCACTGGGACTGATGCGAGTCCTGGCAGGGTAGACAGTATTAATGCCCAGACCTCTAGGAGCTGCTTTGGGCCAATAGTGCAGCAGGTCTTGTTCCTCCTGCTTCCTGTGCCCCAGGGGTCATCTGATAACATTTTGGAGGAAACTGGGTCATCAAAATGTGAGCCCTGTGTCCCTTTCTGGAAGTCAATCTTTGATTTTGTTCTGTGTCCTGCTTCTCACTAGAAAGCATCCTGTCTGTATAGAGAATTGGCAGAGGCCTGAGAATCAGAATTATTACAGCTAGCCTGAAGAAACCTTGGATCCTGATTTTATACATGAAGAATCAGATTAACTTGTTAGAGTCACAGCAAAAGATGCTTGTCTAGCACCACAGGGCTGCGTCGTGCACTGGCGGAACTTGAGCGGCAGGTCTTGTTTTCTCTACCTCACGTTACTTTTTCCTCTTTCTCAGCCAAGTCCCAGGATAGATGGGACTTACAGTCTTGTAAGAGAACCTGAGTATGTGCTTGGCGTATGTGCCCGTGCATGCCAGTTCCTGGGGTTGTAAGAGGTGCTCAGTTTCCTGATACGCAATGGATCTGCCCAGGTGTGGGCATCAGCCTCTGAATGGCAAAGAGGTCACCTTCTTTCTTTGCTAACTTTAAGGAAGTTTGAGGGGTTAACTGGAAAGGCATTAACTTTGAGCAAGATCCGTGCCTGTGGGCATAATGAGTGAGCCCCTTGGGGGAGATGCGCTGACTGCCAGTGCCCTGGACAGGCCGAACTTCATAGTTCGGTTACTCTCATGTTTTACTGCCTGTTCTGCTGTAAGGTCTAGTAGTTTAGTGTCCCCGTCTAGAAAATGGAGACGTCTGCCCAGGAGAGTGTAAAATCATGCGTTTCTTTAAGGGGTCAGGACCAGATTGCTCTTGGTGCTCTGCTAGCCTTTCTTGGAGTCCCCTCCTTCAGAAGCCTGCTGTCATAACTTCGTGCTGTCTGAGGTTTCGTATGCTACCTTTTCTTTGATTCTTTAGTTTCTCACCCATGTAGGCACTTAGCTTATTGGTCTGTGCCTACTGGCGTATAGGGATGGATATGTCTTTATCTATTGTAAAAGCCAGTTACCCTCATGAGGTGGATGCTTTGTTTCTGGGTGGGAAAAGGGGGCCTTTGAACTCGGCTTATGTTGTCATACGAGCTCCTCTCATGGACAAGAGATGCATCCCATGGACTTTGGGGGGA